TCTTCTGCAGACTGCGAGCCTTCAAAAAAGAATCCTTCAAAAAAAAATCCTTCAAAAAAGAATCCTTCATGTATGCAAATATCACCAACTTTGATAAAAGATACAAAAAAAGAATGCAAGCTAGCTGGTAAAGAAAGCGAAAAGAAAATGTCGGATTCTAGCAAGTAAAAAAAAATGGTAACTCGAGATCCGAACAGAATGTACAAGCACAGTTAAACATGGCGAAAAAGGGAAAGTTCATTTTGGCTTGCTTGAAACTTATGTACGTAGAGGGAATCTGGTAGTTCTCCCTTCTCTCCAGGAACCTAAGAAGGGCACATCATTTGTTTACAATTTTTAATATTGTTCTAGTATTTGTATAAATATTGCCTACATCTGAGAGTAAGCGTATAAAAATTTGCCTTCAACTGAAAATGATTCTCAATAATTCCAAAGCTGTGAGAATAAGAGTCCAATTTGTTTACAATTTTTAATATTGTTCAAGTATTTGTATAAAAATTGCGTGCATGCGAGAGTAAGCGTATAAAAATTTGCTTTCAGCTGAAAATGATTCTCAATAATTCCAAAGATGTGAGATTAAGAGTCCTATTTGTTTACAATTGTTAATATTGCTCAAGTATTTATATAAAAATTGCGAGCATCTGAGAATAAGCGTATAAAAATTTGCCTTCAACTTAAAATGATTCTCAATAATTCCAAAGATGTGAGAATAAGCGTCCAATTTGCTTACAATTTTTAATAATTGTTCAAGTATTTGTATAAAAATTGCCTACATCGGAGAGTAAGGGTATAAAAAGTTACTTTTTCTCTCTAAGAACATGCCATTATTGAAAAAACATCTGAGAAGTCCCTTGAAATAAAAGAAATAAGAGAAAGAATGAAGCTAAGGGTTCTTTTTTTTAATGTATAGAACTTTATTAACACATTGCCCAAGTTGTGAATTTTTTTTACATAGTAAAAGGAATGATTGGAATTTTTTCTATTTACATGTTTATTATAAGTAATTTTCAAAAAACAACAATAAATTCGTACAAGCGCGGACAATTTGGATTACGGAGGAAGATGTGCGCCTAACGAAGGATTTGGGAAAGGACTTAATATATTTCATATTTTGAAGAAGAACAGAAAAGTAAATATTAAAAAAAAACGCTTAACGCTCAAATCGTCCGGAGCTTGAACCCGAGAGAAGTTATTCGGGAAATTCTGTTTTTTTGTTTTTTTAAGACAAAAACATTAATTTTTCTACCTTGTAATCATACAACATCACTGATTCGGTACCATAACGTAAATCATTGACGGGTAAATGAGCTGAGCTTTTACTTGAATGTTGTTGCTGTTGCAGAATATTATCCTTTATGTTAACTGGTTGACTTAAAGAATTCAGATTGCCTGTCGTTGCAATTAAATCATTATTTTTATATATACCTGCCTCCAATAGTTTCTACTGCGTTTGCAACACACTGTCCGCTGGATAAACAAAAGCTGCCGGTATGAAGCCTTCTTAACCGTTATTACATACTATCCAAAACAATTCTGGATCATCACGGTTTAATAAAGTAATAAATTCTCCTCTCTCTGCTGCTTAAAATAAAGAAATGTTTATAATTTGTACACTTGCTTCATAGATAGCTAACTAGAAAATTTCCATTGACTTTGGATAGAACCTAAAAAATTTTTTAAAAAGTAGCAAATTGAAAGCATAGTCGGCATGGAAATAAATCAATACAAGGTTTTTTAATTTAATTATAATTTATAGTAATTCGAATGAAAAACAGATGCAATTGTTTACATATCGATATGTGGTATAGCGAATTCGATTGAAAAGCAGATGCAATATATATTTATACATTGTCAGTGCCTACATCTGCTCAATGGTAGATACATATGCTCTGTTGAAGTTATACTTTGGCTAAAACAATTCAAACACTTTGCCAGATTGGTTGCGTAACTTTTTTCCAGTAGCCAAGTCTTCTAAGATACAAACGTCGTTGGTTATTGAGGGCCGCCATAGTGTGATTTGTATGACGACACTTACATGAGACAGTCATAGGTGCACATAGGTGAAAACAACCCTTAAGAAGATTTTCTGATTCAGGAAATCTCCTCGAATTAGGGGAACTTCTTAAAAATGCTGTTGAAACAAGTACACAAGGCATCAACAGCAAATTGCCCCTTCAGAAAATGGAAAAAGATCCCGATACAACTTCTTTAAACAATAAAAGTCCGATTAGTATAGCCACGCTCTCTGATAGCACCTGTTGTAACATAAGAACTAATTCAATAAATAAATTAACGCCTAAAGAACGTATGGACCGTTTAAGCATATACGGGGAAGCACCTCCAATAAATCTATCTCAGGTATTAATGGTAAAACGACAAAAGAACTGGCGGCTATCGGGCTTAAGACGTACTCGTACTAGTTCAAAGAAATAACAATGACATTAAGAGAATTAATTTTACATGTCTTTTTGAAATATATTTAAAGTCTGACCTGCTCCATGACATAAATTTAATGGCCGCAGTATAGTGAGGTACAGTTTTTCCAAGCAGGTTGTAGAACGCCTTCTTCGTTTACGATTTGCTTTCTTTGGGAGGAGATGTCTGAACGGACTTATCAATTGTCTTCTTGCGTTCGTCGATCATACATTTAATAGAGACGTTGCGTTTTATTTTGGCGTCACGTCTATTCGTATGCATTTGTTAATTGTTTAAATTTTACAAGTAATTATCTTATTAAAAAAGTTTTCTTAGCTCATAAATTTTTATAAAATGAAAAGCTTTTTAAGCAAAGTTTTCAATGACTCTAGTTTTTCGCTTCCAAAAGCAAAATACAACAACCTCGTGTCTATTTTTCTCTCAAATTCACGTAACATGTGTCGATTTTTAAACATTCTACTGCTTGTTCTTGTTCATTCTTGGTGTAGAATGCTTGTTCTTGTTCATTTTTTTGGTGTAGGATTGCTTGTTCTTTTTCATTTGCTACATACATAGTCTTCTGCTCTAACGACAGAGGTGAATTTTTATCGATAGTGCCTAAGACTATGCTTCAAAAAGGTTCTTAGCAAGATTTGTTCCTAATTTCTTTGCTGTCGATGTGCTAACTTCACATAAACTATTGCTTATTATAACACTCGTGGATGGCTTTAAGAGTCGCAAGACATTCACAGGAAGGTATAGTGCTCTATGAGTGATTTGAGAAGTAAGTTTCTATATTAGGATTTGGAAACCAAAAACTGCTGTCTACAACATCGGTCTTTGATCCGTCAGTAACGATAAAAATGTTTGCATTTGATATAGACTAAGATCGAGCGATGTAATGAGAAGCAAAAGGAATTTTGAATGAGTTATGTACCTCAGTTGTTAGAATTTGGAAATTATTAATTTTTTAGCAAAAATTTCCAAAAAAGGAGGGAGAGGATAGATGTGTTTGATAGTGGTCGTCAATAGTGAAAGAAGGTCGTAAACGAAGGGTTAGGCAGGATGATTGGATAGAATTTTGTCAGATGAAAAATTTGCTAATAAGCGAAATCATTCTTATGGAGGCAATATGTAAATTAAAACAAAGAGGAGTCAATATAGATCTCTGAGGACCACATGCGAAAGATCTCGTTTTTACGACAATATCATAGTTGTTAATTAACATCTTCTTAGAGAGAAAAAAAAAAATAGAAAGTAGAGTAGAATTAAAGATGTTAATATTGGCAGGATCAAACGATGAAGTTATGTTCAGAAAGCAGGCAATGACAATGTGGTTCGTAGCAAACGCTGAGATGATTGCTGACCACAAAGTAACAAAGTTGGCTTGGGCAGATCTGCAACGTCTACAAACAATTATTTTCTGAGGATACACTTAGAGTCGAGACACCATTCTAAACGTGAATATAATACTTTCTAGAAAACTGTTCTAAGGGTGTAAACCAAGGCAATACGTCTGTAGGAATTAAGACTAATTGGTGAGACTATCTCATTTTAATGATAATATTCTGATTTTTCTTGGCAACAGCGATGGGATTAGCTTATTGTCGCCCCTTAAATTCTTTATTTGCTCAAATAAATAAAGCTCCTTGGTTTATCAGTTGCAGGCTCAGACCTGATATTATTTGCTTTATTAACTGCTGATGTTTGATCACACGATGTGCATTGACTACCTAATCAAAATTAACATAATGAATAGCTCTTTATGCGTGTGAGGCTTTAAAACGTCCTTATCATATCCTAGTTGTCTGCACGGTGTTTGGCAATTCCATTCGCCATTCCATATTTCGGCATTTAGGCATATCTGGTCTTCACGACAGCAGCATTCTTGACTTTTTGCGTTCTCCCAATTTAGCAGCTTACTTCGCAATTTTTTATTTTTTAAAATCATGTCGTCAAGAAGCGTTTACAGCGAAATTATGAACCTACTCTCTTTTACACTTTTTTTACTCATTTCTTTCATATGACACTTTATAATCATGTACTATGTTACCTGTTAGACTGCGGAATTTATCACTCGGCGTTCTATCCTATGTAAGCAACGTGTAATATTAAATCTTAATAAAATATAAAAAAAAACCTGATAAAACGCAAAATTAGCAAAACAATCAATTGTAGTTTTAATTACGAAATGCAAAGAAGTAATAAATAATAATAATTATTTAAGAAAACTAAACCTTACTACGAAGGCTTAAACAAAGAACTCTGTGTTCACAATAGGCCTTTTTTACACATCTCAGCGAATCTGCGGTTGTTGGTTTGCTGAATGGAAGAAGAAGAAGAAGGTTATTTTATTACTCTCAATAAGCTTAATTTATTCTTCTACACATAAAAAATGAAACGAAAAGAACTATAATCAGTCCATATACATTCAACATACCAAAAAAAAAAAAAAAAGAACTATAATCAATTAATTTATTGCTTTATGTACAAAACATTAAAAAGAATTGCAAAAATTTCTAAAGAGATAAATAAACTCGTCCATTGAATAGTTTGTTTGTGCGCTCTATTTGACATTTGTAGTCATGGAAATGCAAATTTTGGAAGCCGTGAACAATTACATGGTGAGTGGCCAAATACTTATTCATAAATAATCAAAGATCTTTTGTTATTCCGTTTATAACCTACGGCCGGTGTGGCTAATCGTTTGTGGGAGGCCCGGGGGAGTGCTGGGATATACCTGATCGACTATTACAATGAAAATGTCAAAAAGATGCAGCTGCGCTATGTTCAACCGTTTAAATACAAACACATATGTCGCCTGAGTTTAGGGGGCTACGAAATAGTGTCTTACTTGTTCCGTTTATTGCGAATGAAGTACCCGACCCATTTGAATGCGATTACTTTGACACGCACGGAAAGTATCTTCCACAATGACAGCTTTATAGTTCGCGATTATATTGAGGAACTAAAAAGGTGGAATAACATCGACTAATGATAGGCGCTGAGAGATTCCGAAGATGACTTTATAAAATGAAAAGTTTAATATATCTTAATAAAGTCCAAAAGACTGGGAAATTGTTAAAACTTTGCTTTTTTTTTAGAAAGTGGAACCTATTGAGGAGGCTTTTGCGAGTGTAATCGTTTACAAAGCCGATTGTGAACAAGAAAAGTCTTTCAAGTTTGCTAATGATATAGGTGGGATATTGAATATTAAATAGATAATATGTAATTACTCCTCTCCATTACAGTTAGCGCGTTTTCTAATGTTAGCCAGGAGAATAAAGAGCATATAATACGTCAATACTTGCAAAAGGCTGCTTCAGCACACAATATCAATCATTTACAAGTATTAATGTCCACCTTGGCGAAACTGACAGAAGCTCATTTAATAACAGCGAAGTACATTTGAATAACAATAATAATATAGGTGCCTTTCTATAAACATTTTAACGCTTTCGATCTCATCACAGGATGTTGTGTGACAAGATTTTACTTTGCGATAAATTGACTAATGAAAATAAAAATTTTTGGATCGAAAGTTTCAAATTAATTAAAAAGGTGATTAGTCATGTGGACTATAAAGGAGTACGTGAGATACTGAAAGTCTGTCGTGATAAAGCTCAGTCCTTTGGTTTGAATATCAATGTTTCCTATTTACCCCAACTATTGGTTTTGGAAGATATAATTAAACATATATTTGACCGCAACAATTGTCTATTGCCGGCTTATTTTATAGCTAACGAGATTTTAAAACCATTTCCGTATCACTGGGTAATTATTGATTTCTCGGCAATTATAGAATTTAATCGACTGATTTTTTTTAGAAATTTAATAAATTGACTACTGACTTTGTCGAAGAATTTCGGCAAACCGCTCAAATGGTTTCAATTATTGGTCATGCGCACATGTTTCCCATTGTAGAGCATTTCGGTTATGCCGACCACCTAATGAACTCTTGGAAACTTGATCCAAATACTCTCAAATTTATACTTAAGGGTAACTTACCGTATGAACCGGAATTGGTTGAAGAGCAATCGCAGTTATTGCGTTACGTTCTGGAGCAAACTTATTCAAAGGAGATGGTTTCCATTATGTTAAATTTACAAAAACAACAAAAACAACGTTGTAATACTCTAGAAGAAGAATTGGTGAATTTAATAATTAATGCCATGGAAATGACTGAAACAACAGATAACGCTGGCAGCGGTTTTAATGCACCCGATGAGCAGATATCGCAAAATGAATGGGTTTGGTTACATTTATCGTCACAATTGATTTACTTCGTGTTGTTTCAGTTCGTTAGTTTTATGCACATCGTCTTGGCTTTGTATGATAAGGTAAGTCGAGAGACATTCATTTTACCCAATGTGTGGACACCTTAAGAACAATAAATCGGGCACGAGCGGAATCGATTAAGCCTTGTCTGCGTCTCTTTTGAAATTGGCCTCTTGCATATCAATACATAAGATAAGATGAAGATTTTTAAATTAGTTGGTTTTATAATTTGTTTGTGGGTTAATACCTACTCTATTTCCCTATCCCATTATTTTTATACTTTAGGTACTTTGGGTGCTAATTACGTAAGGCGGTAAATTATGACTTTTCAATTCCTTCCGTTACTGTTTATTTTGTTACGTTTCTAGATGTTTTTTTTTTTTTTGTAATCCAGATTTATTAAAAAGCGACAAAAATGAAGAAGTGTGGTGCTGTGTGAACATAATTTCTGTCCTGCCTTGTTTAATTGAAATTAATGCACAATGTATTTTTTGTTTTAAAGCTCTCTAAGCTAGAACTGCGCAAAGGAAGAGATCAATTAATGTGGATTTTATTGCAATTTATATCGGGTAGCATACAAAAAAATCCTATTTCTAATTTTTTACCAATGTTTAAATTATTCGATTTATTGTACCCTGAGCAAGAGCCTTTAAAACTTCCTGATTGTAATAAATCCTCTTCGCTAAGACAGGTAATTTTCTTTTATATCTCTTTCAATATTAAGTTAATCTAAGGTCAATTCAACAGATGGCTCCTATTTGTATATGGATACATTTAATGAAGAAAGCCAGAGCGGAGAATATGAACATATCACGTCCTTTGCCCACTGCTTTAAAGAATCACCACGAGTATGTTTTTTATTTTATTTTTGCCCTTGTAACCACTTAATATTACAATTTATGACTCTGCATATATATCTCAGCTTCCTTCAACATCTCGTAATGTCTAACACTATAATGTCTATGAGCTTGGGAAACGATTTCCGAATTATTTTGATTTGCAACGCCTATTCTACAAATCAGGAATATTTTTCCCGGCCGTTGAATGTATTGGTAGAAGCACTCAGCGGCAATGTTAAAAGCAACACTGGCAGTCCCATAGGTCCTGTACCCTTTTCCATGGTAGTTTTGGACAGTCTTACGGTGCACAGCAAGATGTCTTTGATACACAATTTTGTAGGACAAATGATAAAACAAGCTCAGAACAAAACTTCTGTACCAACGCCAGCTTTAGTAGAAACATACGCTCGTCTGCTGGTATATACAGAAATCGAGTCACTGGGCATTAAAGGATTTTTAAGTAACTTCATTATTGTTATCATTGAGATGCTGTTATTTTACTTTCTAATGTTTCAGATCAATTACTTCTGCAAGTTTTTAAGCATCAAGCTTGGGGAATTTTGCATACTCTTCTTGAAATGTTCTCCTACAGATTGCATCACATACCACCACACTACCGTGTTCAACTGTTATCACATTTACATTCTTTGGCTTCTATGCCACAAACTAACAAAATGCAATTAAATCTATGGTGAGTTTTCGAAGAGTTCGGCATTATATTGAGAACGTCATTACTTACAATGAATTTTAGCTTTGAATCAACCGCCTTACGTTTGATAAACGGCCTCGGGTCTGCTGAGATACAACCTCAGTTTTCTCGACATTTCAGTGAAAAGCCTGCCAGTTCAGTGGCATCATCGGAATGCGAAGAATTGAATAGAGTTTTGATTTTAACTTTAGCTCGTTCTATGCATATTATTTGTTCGGGTGATGAAATGCAACCATGGTGTAAAGAATTACTTAGCACCATCATGCAAAACACTCCACATTCCTGGGCTTCACATTCTTTGGCTTGTTTTCCCACTGTACTTAGTGAATTCTTTAGTCAAAATAATCATCCAATAGAAAATAAGCAATTATTGAAAAAATCGGTGGAGGAAGAGTATCGCAATTGGACTTCCATGACCAACGAGAATGATATAATTAATCATTTCATCAAACCTAACACCAGTCCTTTATTTCTGTGTTTGCTATATAAAATGATTTGGGAAACAGAAAACATAAGCCCTGTAGCTTACAAGTAAGCTTTACAATTCTTCATCTGCTAAGCATACATTGTTAAAAAAATATATATTTTCTAGAATTCTAGAGGGTATCAGTGCTCGTGCTTTATCTGCTAACTTGCGCAAGCTTTGCGATTATCTAGTCAACGAAGTCGCTTCGTCGAATGGCAAAGAATTTATACACAAATGCGTAGATTCCATAAATAACATGATTTGGAAATATAACGTTGTAACCATAGACCGTGTCGTCCTGTGTCTGGCTCTGCGTACTCAAGAGGGTAATGAGGCCCAAGTTTGTTTTCTTATAATACAGTTGCTTTTGTTGAAAGCTTCCGAATTGCGTAACCGCGTCACCGAATTCTGCAAAGAAAATAATCCTGATCATTGGAAACAAAATAACTGGTAAATTTAAAATTTTGCTAATATCTCGAGACGGGAAACTTAATAGAAATTTAGAAAAATAATATTTTCATTTTAAAATCGCAGGCAAGAAAACGTCAAAATTAGTTTCCCTACTTTAAATCTTCATCATTTTAGGCATGAAAAGCACTTATCATTTCACCAGAAATACTCAGAAAAATTTGCTCCTGATGAATCGGCCTCACATCCACCTTTGCCAGTTTACTTTTCAAATGTTTGTCTAAGGTTTTTGCCAGTGCTGGACGTGGTTATACATCGTTTCATTGAATTACCCATACAGCATGTTCATCAGATCTTGGAGGTGATTCTCGACCATTTAAGCATATTATATAAATTTCACGGTAAGTTTTTTGGCCGAAAATGCAAAATAGAAATATTAATAATATGTTCTAATTTTGTAAATTTAGATCGTCCTATAACATACCTTTATAATACTTTACACTTCTATGAGCGAATATTAAGAGATCGTCCATCGTTGAAGAAGAAATTAGTCAGTTCTTTTGCATACGTTTTGCTGCCCTTTATATTGGTTTTTCTAATTTGCAGGTTAGTGCTATTACCGGTGCCTTTTGCGATATACGTCCCCCCAATTGGTGTGTTAGCGACCAATATAAAATGTTTCTGCAAAGTGCTGATATACTTTGGAATCCCGAATTAACTTACTATATAAATATAATCAGACGTTTAGCTGAAAGTATTTTTTAATTTTTGCTGCTAAATTCATTAAAACGCCAATCGGTATTGTAGAAAACATTTTTGCCACTGACAGCTGAAATAAAAGTAATTTTGTTTTAATGAATTTCCGAACGCTACTGCACACGCTATGTATGTTACTTGTGCTGAGCTGTTAAGTTTGCCTTTGGCTCCAAATATTGTGGCTAATAACGTAATAGATGTTGTTCTAAAAGGTTATGCTTTAATACCCCCTCGAGAAATCTACAATTACATAAATGCCGTTGGCATTGTGTTGGCTGAATTACCAGAAACATATTGGTCAGTAGTATATGAACGTTTACAAGAAGTTTTAAATCTACCGAAAATGCTGAGGTGGACATACCGATTTAATGCCTTTGAACTTCTCAATTTCAAAACGGTGCGACAGGCGATGATCGATAAAACTTATGCAGCTACATTAGCAGTGACTCATTCAGTATTTCATCATATGGGTTGTTTTAAATTAGCCACAATAACTAAGTAAGCTTTTAAAAAATTTTCATTTATTTTTTTTATTTCTCTTATTTTGGTTAGGTATATCAAAGAGAAACTGAAACCTTGCGTCCGTACGGAATCTCAATTAGTGTTTCTGTGTCATGTTTTTGGTCCATTTTTGCAACGTATTGAACAAGAGAAACCTAATGCTGTAGCCGGTATAGCTATTTTATTATATGAAATGTTAGAAGTTGTTGATAAACAGCATGGACCAACAGCTTTAGAATACATGGATCCGATATGTGATCTCTTATACCACATTAAGTACATCTACGTGGGGAATATCATAAAAAACGAATCAGAAGCTATTATAAAACGTTTACGGCCTGTCTTGCAGAAACGTTTACGCTTTGTAACCCATCTTAATATCGAGGACAAGCATAACGAAAAACCAAATGAAATTCAACATACTCCAACAACGAACGTGAATAATATGACAAGTTGCAACCAATTTCCTGTGACTCAAAGTTTTTCCAATATAAACGCACAACAACAGCAACAACAGACGCAGCTTCAGCAGCTGCAGCATCAACAACAATCGCAAGTTCATGTACAAAATCTTAGTCAAACAGTCCAGCAGCCTCAACCATCACCATTACAAATGCCGGGCGGTTTAGTGGGGCAAACAGCTCAACAACAACAACAACAACAACAGCAGCAGCAGCAATTAACCCAGCAACAACAGCATCAGTTGCAACAAATACAATTGCAGCAACAGCAAATACAACAAATGCAACAACAACAATACCAATTGCAGCAGCAGCAAATGCAACAACATTTACAACAGCAGCAGCATCTACAGCAGCAACAAACGCAAAATGCTAACATGGGTCCAATGCGGCATAACTAAAATGGAGCAGATCAGTGTAACGATTTAAGCGGCCGTGTCTTATGAAGAGGACATCAAACATAAAATATTTCGGCATAACAATTATCATATTTCGTAAACATGATAATTATATTATATTTTAGTATACTCTGCCTAATCATAGTAAGCAAGCAAATGGAAACGAGCAAGTTATTTGTGCGCTGTTGGTCCCATTATAATTTTCAAATTTTTTCTGGAATCAATCCCTGGTTTGACGTATAGATGACGTCTTTAACAAAAACATCCATGTTATTCATAATAAGTTAAAAAATTATAAATGATTGCATTGCATTGTATGAATTTTTTATACCCATCGTCATTATCCCATAAAAGATTGAAAAAAAGGAAAATATAAATTTGCATATATCATAACATTGGGCGTGGCTGACTTTTTCTATTTTTGTTGAATAATATTGTGGACAATTATATCGTATGGCGCTACCTTTTTTTCGCAAACTGGCAATCGAAGAAATGGGCAGGCTAACAGATGGGCGGATTTATATGTTTGTGTGCATTGCGAATGGGAAGCTGGCCGTTTATACTAACTTTTATATTTTATAGAGTTTTAAAAGCCTATTTCTGCGAGTCAAAGATATTGAAATTAAATTTAAGTTTTGATAGACTGCAATAGTGGGTAGGTGTGGTAAATTTTGTCTACTTTTACAGAATTTCTACAGCATCGCCCGTTCACACGTTTATAAGTAATGCGCTAAGTAATGCGCTAAAAACAATTTTTTATTTCTTCTGACAGGCGTAATTAAGAATATATTAGATGGCGCCTGCACGTGGTAAATTACATGCTACATAAGGCTTAAATTCGATGATTTTGACCTTTCTATAAATAAGGTAACAATTTTCAATTTAGTATTATTGAGATATTCAGGGTATATAGACTCTAATACAACAAAACAATAAAAATAATGAATGTCGAAAATGCAATTTTGAGCGTTCTACGTATTAAGATATTCAGGGTATACAGACTCTAATCGTAGAACGCTCAAAGTTGCATTTTCAACATTCATTATTTTTGTTGTTTGACTTGAAGATATCTGATGTCGGAGACCATCAAAAACTTTAAGAAGCTTATGCTCTCAATTGTCTGTTTTGGTTTCAACCGCCTAAAATTGACGACTTTGAACGACAAAGAACGCCCTGGAACGCCTTCAAAGGCAGTCAATTGCAAGACTTATCGGACGAACTCAAACTCTCAACGAACTTTCAGGCAGGTTAGCTGTCAATAAATCAACAATTTCTAGATGTTTACATCCGGTGAGAAGTATCCAAAAGGAGGGGAAATGGCCACCACACTACTTGACTCAAAGTGCCACTTCGAAATGTTTCAACATCGTGGTTTTATTGCTTGCCAGCCAAAAAAGAATAGTTTTCTACGTGGTATTGTGACTGTCGATGAAAAGTAGGCTTACTACGACAATCCTAAGCGTAAAAAGTTTTGGACGAAGAGGGCTTCGAGGGTGTTCGTGGCGACCAGTAGTAAAAACACAAAGATTTCCTTGATATGTTAGTAAAAATAACCTCAGCAGATCATCTGTTTATGATTGCTAATTCGCAGAGGAAGGAGTGAAAGTAGCGAATATAAATTGTGGAGTTACTCATTCTTTTTGTTTTTTCTCGTTTTTTACTCAATCGGCATAACTATGAACTTACTTGCTATTTTAGGAAGGCTATTCTCTGAAATATTTGAAGGTTAATTAATTAATTATTTCCTACATATTCCACAAATGGTTCTCTCTGAAACAAAGTTGTAATGCAAGATTTTCAAAAAAAATATAAACGACTGTTGATAAATTGAGCTTAACTAGAAAATATCTTGGAACTTTTTTTTTTTTGTTAATTTATCCTAAGCGAGAAGAGAAGAACTGCGTGCATAATAAATAAACACTTTTTAGCTAAAAAAACAATATATAATCGCTTTTCCAAAGTTTTATTTAATTTCTTTTCACATATTAACCAAAATGAGATTGAGGAGTGTTTTAATTTATTTAAAAACTATCATTACGATTATGAACAATACCGAATGGAATGCTCCATCAAATGTGTTTTCGGGGGCAAATGCATTTGACGCAAACAATTTTACTTATTATGTAAACATATTTGTATACAACCATCAAGTGCGGTACAGTTTTTAGTAAAGCCGAAAGCCTTAGACTCTAGTGCTTTAAGACTTTAGTCTTAGAATTTATTCTCTGGCTAAGTTTATAATAATAATAATAATAATGTATACAACCACGTACGCCTACAGAGTTTCTCATCTTTCGTATTATGTTTAAAAGACATAAATCGCTGCAATCTTAATACATTCGGGTGTTCTTTAAAAAGTTACGGTTTTCCACACCACCATTGAGGTACCGCAAGAGGTGCGTTGCCAATTTTTTTAAATGGCTGGCATCCCCTGTAGGCCTAAACCATTATCGTACTTCTACATAAACTAAACTAAACTAAAAATTTAATTCTTAAAGTATTTGTGATTTAAGGACATGTTTCTTACATGAAACAATTTAAAGTTTAAGTGTTTGAAACTTGAAATATATTCCATACATATAAAAAATCGTTATAAAGGTTTATCGAAATTGGTTCTTTTTTCAAAAAAAGTTGAGTAAATATTTTTCAATCGTAACTTTCGGCTGGAATTTAAAAGTTTCTATTAATTTATGCATGTATAGCAAACCCATAATAATAAAAATATTTTTGAAGTGATATAATTAGTTGTTTTCAGATGTCATTAGAAGTATATAAAAGTGAATAATAGAAATAAGTTTACCTACCGTCAAAAATTGCGTCGGTTGCAGCATCACCTCAGTGAGGAGTTTCTGATATATTGTCAAAACATTATTCATTATTCTTAAAAAATAAAATGAAGAAGTTATAACAATTTTTAATGATCGCAGATTAAATGCTTACAGGACTTGGACATGTAATAACTCGTAAAGTATTGTTTGGATTATTATTATCAATGCTCCACTGCCCTTAAGAAAGCCACGAAATACAAAGATAAGTATGTGCGCTCAGAACACTACTCTGGAAATATCTATCAATTAATATACAGTTCACGGTCGTAAGGCACCAAACGTGTTTCACTTTCGGCCAAATTATTTGCTCAAAGGTGTTTCCAGCACTTTACGCAAATCGTTAATAAATTAGTTAACAGGATATACTAATTATAACGTTGCGCAAATGTAAGTTTATTTTTTATTTTATTTCACACGCTGCGAACATCGATGATTTTGCGATGAAATTTTGTGTACCTTTTTAATGAGTTGCTTAATTTACTTTGGGTACCGACGCCACGAAACTTACTCATTTTTCGAAATAAAGCCAAAATTTTGCGTAACTAGTTAATGAGTTGCTTAGCAGAATCAACCAACTTGGAGATGATACAAAATCTAAATTTGTTTACAACGCACCCGATTGTGTATTAATTCATCATCCGAAAATGTGTGTACATTTAGCACGCAAAATATCTTGGTTTATTTGCGAGGATGTGCATCTTTATCATAGAATGAACTCACTACTAGAAATGAAGTCGAAATTTTAAGTAATGGAAGTTGCTTAAAAGAATGAGCTAACTATGACATGGTGTGCAAGATTTAAGTCCATTTTGTGAAAATCGACGACTTTGTATGAATTCAGTTTTTTTAACTAGCTAACGTGTCGAGCCCAACCATATATATATGTGTTTATATATTATATACATGCATGTACTAATAATAACTGCTCGAAATTTCATATAACTACTTAGGGAGTTGCTAAACAGCATTAACTGACTATAATGTGTTGCACAACACTTAACTTTATTTACGAAAAGCATAAACTGTGAAGACTGACAACTTTGTATGAATGCAGTACCCGAAATGAAGTAGAAAATTTATGCAACCAAACGACGAGTTGGCTGACAGGATCAACTAATTGTGACGTGTCGAACCAAATCTACATTAAACACCGTCATAACTGATGATTTCACTACTCAAAGCGTGGCTGATTTTGGGTGCAACCAGTTTAAAGGAGAGAAAGGTATGGAGACCGATACCTTTACAAGATGTCGAAATTTTATACAACTAGTTCGTGAGTAATTTAACAGGATGAATTGATTATAATGTATTGCAAAATATCTGTACTAATTTGCGAGACTTGCACACTGTGAAGACCAACGTCATTCAATGAATTAACTACTCAAAATGAAGTTGAAAGTCTATGTAGTGAATGAGCTGTTTAATAGGATGAGCCTATTACACACAAGAAACAAGATTAAATAACATGTTTTATAGGAATTTTTTACTTTGTTGTATTTAAAATTGAAAATGACAGCGTACTTTGCAGTGCTGCATTTAAGATATTTAAAAATATGCAAATACAAAGTGAATTTAAAAGAATGTTTATGTTAGATGCTTCCAGAGTTTGTCTCGTATGGCAATACCAATCCTGCCAGGATATATTTCGACGTATGATTAAATTAAACAAGTAAGAACATGGCCCAATGGCGAGGCTGATTATACCCCACCACTTCGCCTAGTACAATTCTTCAACTTCGTGTAATAGACCAAAAATTGCATCTCGTAAAATTTAAAAAAAATTGAACTTTGTTTTCTTTTAGTGGCTTATACAGTACCAGCCCTTATAAGGAAGGGGACTCAAAACTAAACTATCGTAATAAAGTATTAAATAAAGATTTAATTTTCATGAGTATCCTTCTATGGGATCCCAAAAAAAAAAAAACTCAAATTTATTCAAATTTACAGTTAATTTCTATTCCAAATTGCTTTTACTATGTGAACTGATTTTTATCAGAAAATATTTAAAATGAAACTGACTATGAAACTGACGGGCTATGTGATACAGTTTTTTTTTTTATGTCACTACTCCTAACCATTAATTCTTTTTGCGAAATATTAAAAATTTTACTCATTGAGTTCGGTTTTTAATATGAGGAATATCTAGGCCGCGGACGCAGCACGGGGTGTTAATAATTAAACGAAGAGACTTAGGGCAAGAACATACAGAACATATGTTGCTGCTACAATATATATATATATATTATTATTAAGTTCATTTTTATTTTTTTAGCCCAGCTCTCAAGTGAGACTTAAAAACACTATACGTTTTTACAAGATTCATAGGTTAATGCACAAATACACAGAATAAAAATAAAAAGACTTCAGAGCACAGATCCTTTTGAACGCTCGTAATCTCAGCGTATACTAATATTATTATCTGAATGTAGTTTTGTTTTAAGGTTTCTATGG